TCCCTCTCCCACTCCCCCTGCTTGTGTTCCCTCTCTTGCTGTGTCTCTCTCTGTCAAATAAATAAATAAAATCTTTAAAAAAAAAAAAAGAAGGACATCTTGTCATTTGTGACAACACAGATGAACGTGGAGGACATTATGCTAAGAGAAATAAGCTCGACACAAAAAGACAAATACAGCATAAGCTCACTTTTACATGGAATCTAAAAAAGTTGAACTCACCATTGAACTTCTCACAGAAGAATAGAATGATGGCCACTAGGGGCTGGGAGGTGGTGGAAATGCGGAGATGTTGGTCAAAGGGTAAAAATTTTCAGTTCTACAGAACTAAGATGAGTAAGGTCTGGAGATCTAATGTACAGCATGGTGACTATAGTTAATAATACCATATAGAATACAATAAATTTGCTAAGAGAATCACACACACACACAAGGTAACTCTGGGAGGGATCGATGTGTTAATTATCTTGATTGTGGTGACCATTTCACAATGTATACAGACATCAAAACATCATGTTTTATGCTCTAAATAGATGCATTTTTATTTGTCAATCACACCTCAATAAGCTGGAGAGAGAGAGAGAGAGAGAGAACACAACCCACTTAATATGAAGTTCCAAACCAGCTTTAAATCCCTGCATTAAGAGATAAGGTTGGGCAAAGGGATATAGAAAGAAGAGGACCAAAGTCTTCCCTCTGCCGATATGAATTCAAGTAGAACTAGTTTTAAGTTGACTTTTACTGAATGTTGTGCACCAAGTACTATTCTAAGTCATTTAATTCTCAAAAACACCATATAAAGTAAATACTTTGCCCCATTTTACGGGTGAAGAAACTGAGACCCAAGGAGTTTAAGTGGCTAATAAGTGGCAGAGACAAGGTTCAGACTGGCTGGCTGTCTCCAGAACCTGAGTTGACCATTAATCCTCCAATGCTTTGACTAGATTTGACTGTGTTTTCCAATTCTGAAAGTCTATGATTCTCTGATGTCAGGGCATTACAAACCTATCATGACCCTCCTAAATTTGTCAAGCCAGTTCTCAGTCTCTATGAATATAGACCTAATGATACTTGCAGGGTCAATATTTAGGTCAAGATGGGATGATTATAAAGAAAAGATAACGAGACGCCCGGAGCCAGTGAGGTGAGGACCATGTTGCTTCTGAACATCCTGCTCACCGGTACACCAGGGGTTGGAAAAACCACGCTAGGCAAAGAACTTGCATCAAGATCAGGACTGAAATACATTAATGTGGGTGATTTAGCTCGAGAAGGGCAGCTGTATGATGGCTATGATGAAGAGTATGAATGCCCCATTTTAGATGAAGACAGAATAGTTGATGACTTAGAAAACCAAATGAGCGAAGGTGGAGTTATTGTTGATTACCATGGTTGTGATTTCTTTCCTGAATGCTGGTTTCATATAGTTTTTGTGCTGCAAGCAGATAACAGTGTATTGTACGAAAGACTTGAAACAAGGGGTTATAATGAAAAGAAACTAAAAGACAATATTCAGTGTGAAATTTTTCAAGTTCTTTATGAAGAAGCATTAGCATCCTACAAGGAAGAAATAGTACATCAACTGCCCAGCAATAAACGAGAAGATCTAGAGGATAATATCAATCAGATATTGAAGTGGATTGAACAGTGGATCAAGGATCATAGCTCCTGACTTATAAGACTGGCCACTTTACAACCACTCTTGTTATATCTCTGCCATAATGAATAAATTGTCCAGTTATCAGTAAAAAAAAAAAAAAGAAAGAAAAGATAATGAAATGGGTACAATCTGCTTTACCACATGGTTAAATTCAGAATTGACCCTAAAAGGCAGCACTGTGCTTGTTCAGACCTCATCGTTCACAACACATTAACGTTTTGATTCTGCATGCAAGCGCTACAAGCCATGTTGAAATCAAGATTCCTTCAAATTCAAAAGGAGTGAGAACTCAACTGAGCAGCTGAAGTCACTGGACCCTACACAGGGCCTTGATCCTCACTCATGAGGCAGAGAGGACATGAAGGGGAAAGACTGACAAGGTTGTACTGAGGCCCTAATGGCATGGGTCTGAAAGACCTGGAGTGGGGACCGAGTTGAAACACTTGCCAGGAACTCAAGGAACAGCCACAGCAGAGGAGAAGCTGCTGGGCACAGGAGGGAGTGTAGGGAATGTTCTCCGAAGGCCACGCTTGATGGCACGCACACAGCAGTGCTCTTAAGCATGGTTCCTGTTAAAGCCAGAGAGGCACCATCCATCACTGAGGAAGTGGGGGGTACGTTGTGACCCGCCCCTGCTCCCCCGCGGCATAACTGAAAACCGAGTGTGGACAGCAGTTCTCACAGCGCTTGGCTGCGTTTCCTCATTCAGCTGGTGAGCCTCTCAGGAGAAGAGGGTTAAAAGAGAGGCCAGGTAAATTAAAACCATCTGCACTGATGGTTGCAACAATTAGAACAGCATTCCCCTTAAAAAGGCAGAGGCTCCCAAACTCTGTGGGTCCAACAGACCCTTTATGATGGTGGAGGTCCTTGTGGACCACCTAGCCCCACCAGCCAGTCCCCACTTAAAAGAAAAATAAGGAGAAAACCCAGCCCGTTAGTGCAAATGGGAGGCACTTAGATGAGACACCAGTGAGGTGATGTCTGGCTTTTTATTAATTACCATAAGTAAATTAATAACCCATGTCAGGAACTAAGGGAGAGACACAGTCCTGTTGTAAACCCTTGGAGACCACCAGCCATCTAGGTAGGGCCCAGGTGCTCTGAGAACCAGGGGGATAATGGGATTGGGCCACACCTTGGTGCCCCCTCCTACCCTCACCAGCTCACGCAGTTAACGGAGTTTTCTCAACAGATCTGAACCCACGTGAGACTTGTGGTCTTGACCTCGAATCCCCAAGTGGGTTCAGCCTCGTTATGTTCACACCAGTGGCTCTGAGCACGTGCAGATATAAAGAAGGCACAAGAGCCATAAACAGCATTTGCCTGTATCAGAGGCCCTTGGGCATGAACTTGTGAGGCCACAGTGAGAGGCAGCACAGGGTAATGGTTAGAAGAGCATGGACTCTGGAGCAGATCCTCCTTCCTGGAATCCTACCTCTGCCATTTGCCAACCGTATGGCCTTAGATAAGCCACTTTACCCATCTGGGGTTCAGCCTCCTCATCTATTAAACGGGCATAAATAGTTCCTGTCTCACGGGGCTGTCATGGGGATTAGGTGGGTTAATATTAGAGGAGGATTTCTCAACTTTGGTACTACTACTATTTGGGGCCAGATAATTCTTTGCTGTGGGGGCTGTCCTGTGTATCATAGGATATTTAACAGCATCTCTAGCCTCTTCCCACAGATGTGAATAGCAACCACCACTGCCTCCCATCTGTGACAATCAAAAATGTCTCCAGACATTGCCAGATGTCTCCTGGGGTGGGGGTAAAATGGCCTTCAGTTGGGAAACACTGTCTTAGATTATGTTGTAGATAAAAATGGCCAAATATCAGCATTTTTATACACTGCAACATAATAATTATAAAGTGTTTAGTTAAAAATCTAGAAATTTTGTGTATGTGTTTATATGCTTTATCTGGGGTAAAGGAACCCAGTGCTTTCAACAGATGCTCAGAAAAATAAAAGCATGGAGAATCCTGGCCTGAGTTCAACTTTCACCAAGCAAACAGAATTTTTGAGTCCTTATCTGTAAAATGGGTACAATAATACCTACTTCCTTGGGTTCTTGGGAGGATACAGTGAGGGGAACATAAGTGGAATGCTTTTATACACTGAGAAATGTCATAGAGATGTCATTAGAATGCTGGCTGGCTGCCTTCTTGGAATTTGGGGGCCAAGGTTGGTGAGGCAGGCAGGACCCCTTTCACAGCAAATTCTTTGGATTTCTGAAAAGGTGTTGGGATATGAGAAGAGTATATATTTGGTGCAGTGTTATGGAGGTGCTGGAATGGGCGATGTGACTGGCTGGATAGGAAGGTTTCTTTGGGAAGGCACCAACCATGGCTCAAACAAGAGGTGAATAGGCGGCTTTATCTGGAGTGCAGGCCCCGGGGTGGATAGGTCAGTGACTGGCCACACCACGGTGGATCAGGGGAATCGGATCTCCACAGAACAAATGACAGCATGCTTTCTGAGCCCTGGTCCTCCTCTCCTGACATTCCTTCTGCCCACAGATGTACCGAGGCTTCACCAAGATGCCCCACGTGCAGTACATCCACACAGAAGCTTCTGAAAGTCTCTGTGGCCTGAAGCTAGAAGTCAACAAGTACCAGTACCTGCTGACAGGTAACGGCTAACTCTAGCATCTAGGCCAGAGTTTGGCCAAGGTCCACCAGTCCTTCGCTTCAGAAGGACAGAGAAGCAGTAGTTGACCCAGAAGTGTCCTTAGGACCTTGGCCATGTGCCCAGTGAATTGTAAGGAGTACCTTGTGTAGGGTGCATCTTGCTTGGCCTGGGGTAGGAACTCGAGGCTCTACCCGGAGGCTGGGTTTTAGTCTCAGCTCCATCACCGGCCCCGCGGAGGAAATGTAGTTTTGCCTAGTTCTGCAGTTTCTCAGCTTTACTATATTATATAAATAAAAAGGGATTTCGAGTACCTGTTCCTCTATACCTCACAATCTATTTATTGGGTCTATCTTTGAAAGTTGCCCACCTTCAGGCACTCAATGTGGGAAAGGAAAAAATAAGATCAAAACCAAGCAACCACTGATGAGTGAAGGGACGAGTTGGCCTTAGTCCCAGCTCCAGCACTTCATGGGTTTAAGACCTTCTGCAAATCACTTAACCTCTCTGAGCTTCGGTTTTCCCCACCTGGGAAATGGGAACACAGTCTGGCCTCAAAGGTGTTGGGAAGGATGAAATAAAATTGTAGGACTAGAAAGTACTTAGCACAGTACCTGGTCTGAGGTGGGTACTCGGGGGTGAGAATTCTTTCGCCTGTGGCTGGGCTCTGGACAAAACAACTCTCCCCTTGTCCTCTTTCCTCCTCTAGGCCGTGTCTATGATGGTAAGATGTACACAGGACTGTGCAACTTCGTGGAGAGGTGGGACCAGCTCACCCTCTCCCAGCGCAAGGGGCTCAACTACCGGTATCACTTGGGCTGTAACTGCAAGGTAAGCCCTGGAGAGGGCAGGCACGGGGGAGAGCTGGCTCACAGCCCGAGAAACGTCAGTTCTGGCCGTACTGGGCACTGAGCCCTTGTGCTGAGAGGGGCATGCACATTGGGCCAGGGCAGAAGGGCAGGTCTGAACAGGGGTGGTGAGGAATGTTGCCCCCAGGCTGAGCAACGAAGAAGGTGGGAGAAGAATGCCTTTCTGTGTCATCTGCTGCCTCCAAGCTGCCCACCTGGCAGCTGCCGGGGCACAAGGACTCTTCAGCATCCCTGGCCCCTCCTGTGGTTCAAGGTTGTGGCAGGTACAAGATCCTAACGCTGACAGGTCCTGTCGAGCAGTCCCAGTGGGCTCACCAGGGCAGCTGCCTCATTGGTGGCCCCTGCTGAAGGTGGCCGAGCTGGCGCAGGACTGCTGATACCAAATGCTGCAGAAGGTCACTCTTCAATCAGGCCCAATTCCTTGACTCAAGCCCAGGGCCATGGCACACAGCCTTCCTGCTGCGGGAGGGAGCTGTACTGTTCTCTCACTAATTCTCACAACAACTCTGTGCGGTTTTCATTACTACTGCGCTCATTTTGCAGATGAGAAAATAGAGGCTCAGAGAGCTCAAGTAACTAGCCTCAGGTCACACAGCTCACTGAGTCTGATTTCTCTCCTAGGGCAGCTGGATGCCCGAAGTTTATGCTTTGATCTTTTTAATTCCTCAATTCCCACAACAGCTGAGATTGCTCATCCTTGCCTGTTGCCATTTGAGAAGGAAAAGCTCTCTTGAATGTCTAATTCCACCACTTTTGGGCTGTGTAACCTGGAGCACGTTACTTAACCTCTGTGAGCCTCTATTTCCTTATCTGTAAAGGGAGCTAAATCTGTTATGAGAACTAAAGAGAATAACATAGAAGCACTGAGCAGAATATCTGGTACACAGTGGTGCTTAGTAAGTGTTAGTGAGTGTTCTATTACTTTCACTAAGGGACTGATGTGGCTGGGCTCCACTACAGTGGTGAGCATCTAGACTTGAGGAAGCATCAGCACTGGGTCCACCATGACAGAGCCCACCAACCTTTCGCTGTTATCTAATTGCAGATCAAATCCTGCTACTACCTGCCTTGCTTTGTGACCTCCAAGAACGAGTGCCTCTGGACCGACATGCTCTCCAATTTCGGCTACCCTGGCTACCAGTCCAAACACTACGCCTGCATCCGGCAGAAGGGTGGTTACTGCAGCTGGTACCGAGGATGGGCGCCCCCGGACAAAAGCATCATCAATGCCACAGACCCCTGAGCACCAGACCCTACCCCACCTCACCTCCCTCCTTTCCCGCTGAGCTTCCCTCGGACACTAACTCTTCCCAGATGATGACAATGACATTAGTGCCTGTTTTCTTGCAAATTTAGCACTTCGAACACTTAAGGAAAAGTCTATGCTGTCATATGGAGTTTATTTGAAACCATCCTCCTGGCCCCACCCTGCCCCTTCTTTTTGGCCTTGACATCACCCATTTCCACGCGGGAATTTTTGGTGCCATGCCAGAAAGAATGAGGAATGTACACTCCTCTTCTTCGTGATAATATAATCTATTTTTTTAGGAAAACAAATATCGAAAAACTACCCCATTTGGGCATTGTTAACATCTACCCCTCTCTCTTCTTCCCCACCTCACCATCTCCCAGACCCTTTTCCCTTGGCTCTTCTCCTCCACCCCAGTACATAAAAGACACAGACAAGGAAGATGCTGAGAGGTCAACTGTTTCAGGATCAGTCCAGGGCAGCAAGCAGACAGACTCAAGGTACGCAGAAGATCTTATACACCAAGGAGATGCTACTGCATGTCCCAACCAGACTGTCTGTCTGTGTCTGAACGTAAGAGTGAGGGAGGGAAGGAAGAGACGGCAGGAGAGGGTCTGAGAGGATGCAGTACACACAGTTCCCCCAGGCCAGTGCCGCTGGGATTGACCAGATGTTTCTGAGTCTGGAGCAAGCAGCCAGGCCAGAATAACAGAACTTTCTTAGTTGACGAAGACTTAAACATCTGCCTGAGGTCAAGAGGCAATTTGCCTGCCTTGTACAAAAGCTCAGGTGAAAGACTGAGATGAATGTCTTTCCTCTCTCTATCTCCCACAAGACTTCCTCCTGGAAAACTCTTTCGTAGATTTGGCCAGGAGCTTGCCTTTATGTAAATTGGAGGAATACACACACCATACACTATCCACCGATATAGTCAAGTAGATTTGGGTAGAGAATACTATTTCCGAAGTAGGGTTTAGCTCACCTAGGGGGATGTGTTTGTATACACATTTGCATATACCCACACGGGGACATAAGCTAATTTTTTACAGGACACAGAATTCTGTTCAATGCTGTTAAATATGCCAGTAGTATAATCTCTTCTATTTTTTTGTTGTTGCTTGTTTGAAGAAAATCATGACATTCCAAGTTGACTTTTTTTTTTCATTTTAATTAAAATTTGAAATTCTGAACACTCTTGACATCCCTCTAACTGGGGTCATCTGACCTCTGTCCCTATCCTTTTCTCCTGCTTCATGTTTGGGGCCTTCATTTAACTGCCTTACTGGCTTGGCTCAGGTGGGAGATGAGAGTTAGTGTGGGTCAGGGGCCGGGGCACAGGAGGGAAAGCTGCAAAGTGTCCTGCCTCAGCGAGATGGCCACTTTCCTGGGTTTCGAGACAGCCTGTTCTTCTTCCCCCAGCTCACTGGTGGGCGAACACCACCTCCTGAGGTCTTCACCTCATGGGATTAAAATCAGTGGTCACTGGGGAAGCCTGACTCTGCAATCAGCTGTAGGGTTTTTTTGTGTGTGTTTTTTTTGAAATAAAACTATAATATAAGTTCTCTGATTAAATAAAATTATTTTAAGTTCAAGTATTGAAAGCGAGATGCCAAGAGTAGGTGAGAATGTATATTTTACAGAGTTGGGGGTGGTAGGACGGTGACATTTAACATGATTGCTCTGTCTCTTTTTTCAGATTATGGGTATTTATCCTCTTAGTATTTGTATCTTCAGTTCATTCCACTTTAGGAAACAGAGCTGCCAATTGAAACAGGAGAAAAAAAAAAAGAAGCAAACAACACATTGTAATGTCTTGCATGCACACACACACACACACACACACACACACACGCCCAGGCAAGGTGTTTGGTAGAACTCCTCAGTGGGAAGGAGTACAGGCATCCGGCTTCTGTGGGATCCATTTTATTTTCTTGTATCTTTCACCTTATGGTCATGCCATCTGGTGGGGGGGAAATGGGAGGCTTTGCCCTCTCAATGCAGCAGTATAAGCAAAAGGAGCTGAGGTCAGCAGTCCAGTGGTTTTTAAGAAGTAAGCCCCAGCCTTGCTGTTCTGAGATTTTCTTGATTTCAACCTTAAAGTCTTCTAAGGTGGAACCCCTGACCCAACCCACACAAGTGTCCTCCCACAAATGGACATCAGCATCCCCTCTATGAAGCATTGATAATTCTTGGTCCCTGGTGGGGCCACCTCCACTCACACAAAGCAGGACCTGGGGTGAGGCCTGAGCATGAGTCATCTGAGGTTTCCCCTGCAGAAATGTTGGTGGAACCACAGTCCCATCTGCCAGGCCCTGGCGAAGAGAACAGCAGGTCCTGGGCAAAGAAGGGTCCTTTGCAAAGCGATGTTGGCAGAGGGCGGTTTTTGAGCTTTCTATAAGCTATAGCTTTGTTTATTTCACCTGTTCACTTACTGTATAATTTAAAGTCATTTATGTAGCTGAGACACTTCCGTATTTCAATCATATCGTGAACGTTTTATTTTGCTAAATCTTGTGTCATGTGTAGGCTTTAATATGTGTACATTGTGTTTAAGAGAAAAAAAAAAAAAATGAAACCCACATGCCGCCATTTTCCTGAATCAAATTCTACAGTGGAATGGAGGGTAAAATACTTCTACTGTGCAGGCAGCTCGACTGGCAAACTGGAGAAATGAGAAGGAACTAGCCCTTGAGACTCATCCATCCTCCTCCCTTTATCGGCATCCCAGTGCTTTCTGGAGCAGGAAGGAGGAGGGGAAAACAGCAAGTACATTCATGTCCTTGCTCTGTATCAACTGGCACTGGGCAGTCTGCTGGTCATTCCCATTCTTCTTCCACTTGATCTTTGACCACCCAACTGGGAAGCCATGATTTCTCCTAAAAATCCAGGGCCATGGGAACTATGATTCCAAGACCTCTTGGCCTCATCTGGCCAACTCTTCTGCCTCCCTATCCAGACAGCACTATACCCAGCCGCTCTCCTCTCAGACCTGTGCTCCATCTGGTTGGGTAGATAATACTGGAGACCCTTATCCTTTACCGTCACCCAGCTCCAGACCTACATCATGGCAGTTGAGGTACAGCCCATGAGCACCATTTTTCATATATTGGTTCTTGAGCAATTAAAGAAACAAAAGACTTATCGGAAGGACTTTTTTTCAGAGACACTGTGGCCCCCTGGGAGAGAGTACCCTCCCCTGCCCCGGCCTTTCATCTTTTGTTTGATGGTCGCCAATGTGGATTACCCCAAGATGGCACCCGAGTGTTTGGCTCCTGGCTACCAAAAGTAAAAATATCACTACAGTAGTTTTACACAAGGAAAACACTTTAAAAATCTGATGACAGAAGCAAAAAAAAAAAAAATGTGGAAGTGTAGGGGAGATGGATATCAATAGCCTCCAAATTGGCTCTTGGGAAGTGTGAGGAGGGAAAGAACTTAAAGACCAGTTTGTGCTTTGAGGGGAGGGGCTTCATAGATTCTCCCAGGCCCTCACCCTTCCCTTTAGCCAGTCTGCTGTCCTGAGACCCAGAAGTGATAGAGAGAAACCAACCAGAGAAAACCCTGTCTGGAAGGAATGTATTTGTTGCTAAATTTTGTAGCAGTGTTTACAGTTTTCCTCCATGTTATTTATGAATTTTATATTCCGTGAATGTATATTGTCTGTAATGTTGCATAATGTTCACTTTTTATAGTGTGTCCTTTATTCTAAACAGTAAAATGGTTTTATTTCTATCACACACCTGCAGTCTCTTGCCTCCTTATATCCTGACCACCACTGGGGATAATATAGACAGCAGAGGGCCTTGGAAGCTGGTCCTGCTTATCCTGGCTACAGGCCCATGCATGTTTCTCTCCATTCATTCACTTTCATTCACTTCTACAGTCTGAGCCCACCCTGCTCTAGTCTTTTCCCAAGGCAGGAACAATTTCAGGAGAGGCATTCTAGATTTCCTCCTGACTGCTAATCCTGCCCTGAGCTTGCTCCCTGATTCCAAGGCCAGGGTTCTCCATAGCTCTACAGAATCCGGATCTCTATCTAATTAACTATTAGTAAGCAGTACAAGTATTCCCAGACCAGAGCCCTGACATGGCTTTCCCTATTTTCTTCTTAAGAATCTCACCCCATGGAAGTGAGAGGGGAAGGCTGCAAACATCAGTGTCTGATGCCAAATGCCTGCCTGAAATTCCAAGTATGGCTCAGCCTAGTTGGGAATGCCAGGAACTCAAGAGGTCCCACTAACTGGTGGGCTCCTCCAAGAGCTTACAGCTGGATCTCAACCTCAATGGGCTGGGCTGGCTGCAGACCCCTCACCCAACTTTCATCCCATTGTTGACAATGTTCCGGGGTATAATGCCCCTATTTTAAGCTATTCTACTTTGATCACCTATCATATGTCAGGCATAGCACTCTATACACATGATTATATTAAACTTCAACAACCCAATGAGGTTGCCCCACTGTCCTCCATAGTTTCCAGCTGAGGAACCCAAGACTCGGGTTAATTCATTGCTCAAGACCTAGTATGCTGGCAGACTATGATTCAAACTCATTCTGGCTTGATGATAAACCTTGACTCTTCTCTACTGTGTTCATGCTTTGGTGGAATATGCCAGGTTCCACAAACCCTTCTTATTCTAAACAGCACATCCTGGATTCTAAGACTCTTACCAGATCAGATATAAGGGAAAGATAATCAAAGGAAACCTCTCTGCTTGTTTAGACTGCTCCTCCTTGGAGCCTGCAGTCCTACCCATCAATGTCTCCAAACAGAATCCTCCAGGTCAGCAGCCTGAGCTTGGGATTCTAAAACCAGGCCGCAGTCTCCAGCTGGGACATTTGGATACCCTATTAACTACCCTGTTCCCCAAAATTCACATTGCTTATGTGGCAAGCATGGGGCCGTGACCCTGAATTCCTTTGACCAGTTTAAGAAGACCACCAACCACACAAGCAGACACATCACAGGCTATCTCCGGCTGCGCAGAACTCTTCCACCCAACTTCTTCTGGCTGTGGGATAGAAAGCTCTCCACCCTATTCAGAAAGACGTTAACCTTCCCACCCAGATGTCCTCCAAAGGAGGGACTCTACCATGTGCTCCAAGCTAAGCTCCAACCACTTCCCAGACACAACCTCAGGTACACACAAAAGTCAAAATGTAAAGAGAACATACAAAGAAACTGCCCTTTGATGATCAATGCAAATAAAATATTACTGTTTTTATTGAAATAAGAGTTGAAACCAGGTTCTGCCCAGGGCCCAAGGGAAACAACTTCCAACCTCTGAAACATCTTTTATCTTTATTATCAACCTTTGGCTCCAAAAATGCCAGCTCAAGTTGTCCCCAGATTTGCTAAAAATTTCCAATGTCCCAAGGAATGCCATCTACCTTTGTCATTTGCCCTGCTACCTCAAACTTTACCTGAAGAGTTGATTCTTTCCCTAGGGAAGCCAGGCATTCCCATAGGAAATCACAACTCTTCCTTAGAGGCCAGGTGGTCAGGGAGTGGACCCTCAACCCACTCCTCCATTCAAAGGGATTGAAAACATGGACATCTGTGTTCATTCCATATTAGGAAGATCATCAGAGTAAAAAAGGGCACTCACCATTGGCTTATGGTTGGGGAAGAATGTTTGTTCCACAAGTGGGAACTTCTCAGGACCCAGGGAATGGAAGATCTTAATGAGCTGAGAGAACTAGGAGAGAAGAAAGAGCATTTGGTCAATCATTGTGGTGAACTTCCCACTTGATCCCAGGTCTCAAGTATCTGACCATTCTGAGCTGAGCTGCAGTAGCTAGTCCCTGTTTACAAGATAAAAACCAGATTCTTAGGCTGGAAATTCATCTTCTCAATTATCTGGTTGCATCAACCCTTCATTCCTGCCAGGCCACTGAGTTCAGCTCAATTACATTTAATGAGCATTTACTATACCCTCAACATTTCACACAAGCACTACCTGCTGACATTCATGCCACGTCCCCAGCCTGCAAAGCCTTTCTTTCTAGAGAGGTAGTAATGCATAAAATTTTATGGTATAGACTCTGGATTCAAAATCTCCACTACTTACTAACTGTGTAGCCTGGAAAGTCATTCCATTTGTAAATGGAGAAAACAAGAGATCCAATAATACACAATGTATGAAAAGCTGCACCTGGTCCCTAGGAGCACTTGGATGTTAGATCCCAGCTAACATGCTGAACAACATGGATTTGAATTGCACAGGTCCACTTATATGCAGATTCTTTTTAGTAAATACAGTCCAGTGCTATAAATGTATTTTCTCTTCCTTATAATTTTCTTAACAACATTTTCTTTTCCTTAGATTGCTTTATTGTAAGAAAATAACATATAATACATATAACATATGAAATTGTGTTTAATTATTTATGTTATTAGTAAAGCTTCCAGTCAACAGTAGGCTATCAGTAGTTAGGTTTTGGGGGAGTAAAACGTTATATACAGATTTTCAACTGCACAGGGTATTGGCACCCCAACTCCTGCACTGTTCAAGGGTCAACTCTATTTTTTCTGCTTTTACAACCACACTCATTTCCAACTGCTCGAGCTGCATCCCTTTCACACCTGGCTCCTCTTGCTTCAGCACGGCCTTGTTTTGCCATAGAGATAGCTACCATCTCCAGAGATGGAGGGGAAGCTCCTGGGAGGCAGGCCTTGGACTTACATTTTCCTCCATTACCCCACACCACTTGGCACCCTTGGGAGCTCACTTTGTGCTTGGAGAAGATGACACAAGAGAAGACGGAAGGGTACTCTAGGTGTGCAGTGAGACTAGTGCCCTGGAGACACTCAGTGGCTGTCATAGCTGTGGCCTTGGGTACAGGGGACAGTGAGAGAAGTTGACAGAGGGTGATCTGTGACAGACCACTGGGAGCCTTAAAGGCTGGAACAAGGAGCTTGGAATTTACCCAGAAAGCAAAAGGGAACTCCTGGTGGAAGTGCAAAGGGCAGGGTTAATTATGATCAGGAAGAAGGAGTAAGCTACAATATGTGGCCCAATGGCTAGAAGGGGCACCAAGGTTTGCACCAGACTGACTTGGGAGTAACTCAACACTAATGGCTCAGACAGAGAGAACGGGGAACTTAAGAACTTTTTGCATCATGCTAGAACTGGTCTGCAAACTCTTGGGGTAGAGTCTGAAGGTGTGGTGCTACCTGGAATCCACTTAGAGGGTCTGAGGGACCTCAGAAATATGGGAAATGATGGGGGATCCCTCAGTTTACAGATAAGGATGCTGAAGGCCAGAGATTGAGAGAGTAAGTCTATGATCAAGCACATGAGTTTTGGAGATGCCCACCTCCAGTTTCCTCATCTGTACAATGGAGATGTTAGCAATACGTACTTGTCAGGGTGGTTCTGAAGATCAAATACAATATGTACATTAAGAGTTCAGCACACACACAGTGCTGATGAATGTTAGCTGCTGCCATCACGATGTCTGTGTGGAAAGACAAGGGGGTTGGGCTAATACTATCTAAGACCCTTTCCAGATAGTGGCATAAAATCTGGGATGCCATAGGCAAAAAATCTCAGGGTAGAATGAGAAGGAGACCAGAGGCATGATAATAGTGGTTAAAAACTATCCATATCTACTAAATTAATGTATATATTCATTCAATAAATATTGAGTGCCAACTCTGCAGAGACCTTGATGGTACTCAATATTTACTGAATGAATATAATAATTGTCATCATGTATTGAGTGTATACTTTGTGTCAGCCAAATGTATTCACTCATAACCCTACCAGGATGACCCTATTATTATCATCATTTTACAAATATGGAAAATAAACTCAGAGAGGTTAAGCAAGTCGCTCAAGATGACACAGGTCATAAACTGAGGCTTCTAGAACTAGTCAATCTGGCTCCATTGCCCATGTTCTCAACCACTGTCCTACCACCAAGAGACCAAGCAGAGGGAAACAAGAGACAAGACAGGTAGAGCTCCAGAGAGCACACTGTATATATCCCCAGCCTCCACATTTCCTATCTCCCTTCCTTGCTTTATCTTCTCTCTTGGCACTTATATGACATATTACATATTTGGCATTTTATTAATAAACAGCATGTGCCCCTGCTCACTAGAATATAAGATGTATGGGTCAGGGACTTTGGTCTGATCTGCTCACTGCCATGTTCCCAGGACTTAGAACAGTGCCTGGAACATAGCAGGTGCTGAATAAATATTTGTTGCATGAATGAATTACTTCCAGTAGGGAAGACAGATAATACGCAAAAGAATGGATAAATATATCATTCTAGATGGAGATAAGTATTGGAGGAAAAATAAAGCAGGGTAAGGGAATTGAGAGTATTGGGGGGAATGGAGGGGGTATCCTAGGAAAACCCTCTCTTACAGGTAACATTTGAATGGAGACTCAAATAAATCAAGGGATGAATGAAATTCATGAATACAAAACAGGGAAAATCAAGTCTTGGGGTTTGGGGAGATATGGCTTCAAGTTCTGGTTTCACTCCTAATATAGTCTATATGACCCTGGGTGAATTCCTTAGCTGCTCTGAAGCTGAGCTTCTTTTTCTGTCAAATGCAATAATGATGTCCACTTCACATGATAGCAATAGTTTGAGCACCAGGAAGCATGATTTTCTGGTACATAGTAAGTGCTCACTGAATAGTGCCCACTGTTAACAAAAATGATATAATTTAATGTAAGTAAGAATAGTATAGTACTCCTCTTACCACTAATGTTATTATAAGATAACACTATATCATAATATGTTCATACTATGTTATTATATGATATTCGTTATTCAGTTGCTTAAGAAAGACCCATTACTGAGGCCTCCGTGCCGGAGGATGGGCCCATTTCAGGGCTGGGAGGCCACCCACTGCCCACCTCATTCTAGGTCAGCCCGGCCCATCACCTACCACCCAGGGCTTGCTGCAGAAGTTGTAGACAGAGTAGAGGGAGTTGACAGCAGGCAACCCTCCGTACTGGAGGCCGATGACCAGGCTTCGGTAATCTTCACCCAGAGCCATGCTGTAGGCATGCTGACGGACTAGGATGAAGTCTGGCTTGAAGGATCTGCAAAGAGAGGGGTTGGCAGCAGTGTTACTACATGGGGCATTGCTGAAGCACCAGGGCATTGGGCCACAGTCTGTAGGGATAGCACTGACCTGGCATGGGTGCCGCCAGCCAGGGGCCCTCAGTTCAGAATGGGGATGGGGTGGGGGAGTGTGGATGGGGACAGTTGGATGCAAATACACAGCAGCTACAAGATAAAGGGGCTGAAAACAACTGATATTTTATTCATTTTATTTTTTAGGTGGTTTTTTAGATTTTTCTACATTGAACAAATACTCATTTACAATCAGAGGAAAATGTATGAGATAACTCAGTGAATCCACCTCCACTTTTATTAGGCAACACCTACTACCTTACTGAATCCTCCTAACTGCTCTGGGCAATGCTGCCGGCAACTCCATTTTACAGAGGAGCACTGATAAAGGAGATTTTCAACTTTTAATGTTTGTGGGCCCTGCTCCTCGGCTTCCAGGGAAGCCATACTCCAACATTTGCCAAGGTCAAAATGACCCGGCAAAACCTCAGAGCATGGGCTCTATGTCTGCCCCAAGCGCACGTGGTGTACATCTGCTTTGTTAAAGAAAATAACCAAAAAGGAGCATTCTGAACACAAAAGATAAGAAAAAGTAAGAAACTTCCCTGGTTCCCATAAGACTCAAGTCACACAGCCTTGCAAATATTAGAAACTTAAGGCCTGCAACTTTCTGAAATGTTCTTTGTCTAATAATTTGCAACTTTTATGCAAATTATGTATATAAACCTACATCAAATGTTCCCTTACCAGAACACTCTCTTCTTTGTGAAGACTGTGCATCCCTGGCCCTGTCCTAACTTGGACTTGAATAACTCTCTCCCTCTTTTTTTTTTTTAAGAAATTCCAAAATGTGTTCATTTTGTGTCAACAGCATCCTGAGGCTCACAAAGATTAAGTCACTTGCTCAAAAAGACATGCTGCAGGTACACGGCAGGGTCAGATACGTGTAGCCTCGTGGCCCTAGTTCTCAACTACCATGCAGCATGGTTTGTATATATACTTACATATATATACATAATATGTATACATTCATATATAACCTGTATATTTCAAACAGGTCTCATCCCTTTCAAGTAGCAACCTCTGGAAAGCGCAAGAACATTAATGTGATGGCCAAGAACATGGCAGGCTCTTTGCTGGGACCCTTTGGAGACATGATCCTGATTAGTGTTCACAAGCAGACCTGGGTAAGGTCAGGACTATTTCCCCACTTTGTAGATGGGAACACGCAGCTCAGAGAAGTTAGGAACTTCCCCAAGTCACAAAGCTGGGAAGTAGGAGAGGCATGTGTGAACTCAGGTGATCTCACTCCAAGTCCATATACTCTTCCTTCCATCACATGACTCCAGGTGAATTCACACACGGTTTTACTTGCACTGCCAAGGATCCATCTATTTCTAGATTCCTCACTTCTAGGTCACACAAGAAAATCAGCTTCACAGTGCGTAGGTGGTTTACAATTAAAATGGTATGATCCACTTGGCTCATCCAGAGTTAGACACTTAGCTTCAAATAAACTGTTTCTCTTTAAAGTAATTCAAATTTAAGTTAAAATAACTGTCAAATGGAAAGGACTCGCCCCCGATTAGAGACAGAAGGAAAGAATGAGCTGCAGGTGCAGACACTTCTCAAATTGTTCTGAGCTTGGGTCTTCTTGTACACCCCAGGGCCTGGTGCCAGGGGAGCAGAGGTGTAATAAGTACATGTTGAAGGAACAAATGATGTACATGAACATCACCCCCTCATCCCCAGAGGAAATGGCAAAGGCTTCCCTCATGGAGTTGTAACTCATCCTAGGGGAGCCAGGTGGATGGTGACATCTTGGGTATGGCTGGCATTGTGCTCATGGAAATGGTCAATCACGTCACTCTGTAGTTAGGGTCAGAGTTGGGTTAGAAGCTTGGAATTATTATGTCTATATCCTTATTGCATTTTAAGAGCTGAGCCAGTCCAACTAATGTATTTTACAGATGGGGAAACTGAGGCCTACAGAAAGGCAGTGATGTGTCCCAGGTCACATGAGCCCATAGCAAGACAGTGATGTGTCCAAGGCAAAACCATGTCAGAATAGCAGGTCATACCCAGGTCTCTCCTCTGGCTTTCCTGCTCTTTGTGTTTCACTTCAGAAGGAAGGGAGGAAGGGGTGAGTGGTGTGTTTCTGACAGGGATCTGATGACAATAGACAGCACTCACAAAATATATCCACTTTTTGCTTTTATATGATTTTAAAAGTAATATATGTTCATTGTGTAAAAGAAAAAAAAGCGTCAAAAACACAAAGAAGTAAACAAAGTTACCTGTAATTCTCAACTCAGAGAAAATCCCTAATAACCTTTTATGTGTCTCCTTATATGTACACTACAATCCACTTATCTATTTTTAATGTATATAATACGCATTCATACTCATAACTGATTTCATGCTTTCTATTATTATTTTTCTATTTTCCACGTATTACAGTGTGAGCATTTCTTCTAATAACAAAATATCTTCAAAAATACCATTTCTAACAGCCACCTAACAATCTATTGAATGGACATACCATGATGAAGTCAACTTATCATCCACTATTATCAAGTAGATTGTTTCCAAAACTTCACACATGTACATGTTTGCACACAAATCAATGCCTTCCTTTTTAACTATTTCCTTATGATAGATTTTAAGAAGTGGGATTACTGGCTTAAGGGGTATGAATTTTTTTTAAGTAACCAAACGTGCCCCCTTTCTAAAGGCGTAAGCCACCAGTTGCACATGTCAGTGTCCATATTACTACAGCTTCACCAGCACAGCAGTTTTTGAAAAATACATTTTTTTTTAAATTTGATAAGCAACTTCCCCTAAGATACCCTGTATCCCCACTGCTGTTTTAGCTTGCATTTCTGTGACTTTAGTGAGTTTGAGTACTTTCATTAATGGTGTGCATTTTCTTTTCTTTTCTGTAAAAGTCTGCTCACAGAGCTCTTTGTATAGGATGCTGCCCTTTATCTTTATCACATTGTCCTGTGTGGCAATATTTTTACTAGTTGTTTGCTTGCCCCCCCCTTTTTTTATGGCTGTGCATTTTCAAAAAACCATATAAACACATTTTCCATTCCCTCCTAGTCAAATCTATCAGTCTTTCCCTTTGATTTCTCTCTCTGCTTTGATGATCAGAGGGTCCTCTGGGGCCCTGGTTCTCACAATGAGATACCCCTTACTCCCAGCAGGGTGGCTCCCCCACAGACAACAGCAGAGGCCAACCTGGTGTCTCACTGGGGATAACTCCACTCTGCCCCAGGAGGAAATAATCAAAGGTCTTATGCTGGCTAGCCTGCCAGTTTTTCACTGTTTGTGGAGAACTCATAAGAAAGATACAGCCTGGGGGGGTTAATCTGGCTATCTAGAAAAAGAGGGTGCCCTTCCAAGATCATCTTCCAAGAGGAGTATCTGAGGGCCTGTCCTGAGATGGCCCCATTCCAATCCCAGATATTATGATGTGTTTTCTCTCCAGGACTTCTAGAACTCATCTCTAAATTGGAATCTTTCTGATTCTTTGAAATAACAGTAGTGGTCACTCCTCTTTGTCTTTAAGGATTTGGAAATCTACCTCAAGATGCTGTATTCAAAGAGTTCTTTCAAAATTATACAGCCCTTCCCTGCTTAAAAGCCCTCTGAAGGCTTCCTCTTTCTGACAGCAGATCCTAGGCTCCTTACCATGGCAACAGGACCCCTGCCCACCTCTCCACCCTCACTTTCTACCTTTCTCCCTCCCTCACTGCCACTGAGCCACACTGACACTATCTCTTCCTCTAACTCTCTCCCTGGACACTCTTCCCCAAATAGTGCCCAGGGGGTCTCGTTCTCATCACTCACTCATCAGCTTGAGTTCATTTCCACAAAGATACCTGTCCTGCTCACTCTACTGAAATTTGCCCTAAGCCCCATATTGCCCTATTTTCCTTTCTTCACAACTCTTGTGGCAGTTTTATTTCTCCTGTTTATCGGTTTAGTTTTTTATTGTCTGTCTCTTCCCTCTAAAGATGACAGCTCAATGAGAACAGAACACCTGCCTGTCTTGAACAAAATAGACCATACCCATGTTTTTAAACGAATGACTGAGTTAATGAATACATGTGTAAGTGAGGGAATAAATGAATGGGCATGAAGTGAAATGACTACTGGAAAAGGGAGGGACCTCTTTACTTGTACTCCTAGAGAAGAGACCTGGTGCTGACAGCCAGGGTTGCCAGGATGTATCATGTGGTCCCTAACAACGACGCGCTGCCTTACAAGGGAACATGCTCTGTATTCCTGGAGATATGTTAGCATCATCAAGAAAGGTTTAACCCCAGGGAATTCAAGATGGACCCATGACCTCTTCACATTATCAAGTATAATATGTGAAAAAATAAACACTTTCTATGAGTGATAAATCTGGGCAAACCAGGCACGTGTTACAGTTCAAATGTTGCCATTCACTGCTGCATAGAATGCACAGGGTCCTTCCTGACAGCCTGTGGTATGAGGGATTTGCAAGGAATGCAGAGAAATTAGTGACTTGAGCCAGGGGACCTGTGGCATGAAGTTCCTCCCTTCATACCCAGCACCCCAGCTTCTCTATCCAATCAGGGAATGGCCAAGTCCTGATATCAAGGATGTGGCCACCAGCAATTCTCAGGCCCTGGCAGTGGGCCAAACACCCTGGTAGGGGCTGGAGACCCTGAGATGACAGGGACATGATCCCTGTTTTCAGGACACCCCCAATCCAAGAGGAGTTGAGTGCAATTCTAAAGGACTGGGACTCACGAAGTACACCAGTAAGTAAGTGAAATAATAGAAGCAAGTACAAGGTACAAAGGTGGGCCAAAGATGTACTCAACTCTGTCTGGGGGTGGGTGTGGGTCAGCATGTGCCAGAGGCTTGGGTCTTGAAGGAAGAGGAGGGGTTTGTCATGTGGGCAAGGTTTTGCAGATGTTCCGGGTAG